CTTGGAAATTGCTTAATTTCCGGAATATTGTTGGTCTAAGACCACACTTTTTACATGTCCTGAACATCGATTAAAAAATTCACTTAAACTTGTAGATATTTCTTAATACAGAATCAAGAGAACTTTTTTTTTTAACTTTATTTTTGAGATTTTTAGCCGTACAGTACTTTCCTAAGTAAACATCCATGATTTCAGAGTTAACAAGTAAATTATGGGTTTGGTACGATACTTTAGTTAATAAGCTACCGAACGAAGTCAATGAGAACGCGTGATATGAAGGTTTGCACCCATAATTCACAAAAACAAAACATACGCTCCGACCAAATCAATTTTTATCTTCATCCGCTAGGTCAAAGTGAATTCATTGGCGTTTCAATGCGTTAGGCCGAATTTAGAATCCGTAGGCCGAGTTTGGCGTCAAGAAGCAGTGTTAGACTTTTGACATTATCTCAACGATTGGTTTCTCTTTATCAAATCTTACGGTACGTAAGGAAAGGTAAATAAATTTAGAAGCCATCAGTAATAATAACATTCCGTTTGGTCTGAAACTGCGCTAGATTAAGAAAGACTAGGTGCGGGTTATGCTTAATAGGCCGGAAATGGGGTAGTTAAAAAAACTTCATAGTCTCAGAATTTTCTTTTTTCCGTGATCTCGATAAGCTTTCTTCATACTAATCTACTTGAAACGTTATACAAGATTATTTTGAATTGTCTCTAGAATTTTCTTAGAAACTACAAAAAGTTTCGTAAGAGTTTATATTAAGTATTTCCTTATAATTTGCTTCCTCTGGAATAATCTTCGAATTTCCCTCTGTATTCTTCTCAGAATACGTACTCTTGGCGTGGTTTCGTGAATTGCTTGAAATGGTCATATGTTCATTTTATACGATAGATGAGAAGATGTAAGTATAGAGTTCTGTTAGAGTACGGCAGTGTGAAAATTGTGTATAGAGAGTAGAAAGCGAGCAAAGGTCAATATTGAGGAAGACATAAATCGGATTAATCATCTCCTTTACCTGTTGGGGGGCATCTCCCCCCGCCACTACTAGCAAAAGAGATGATCGTCGATTTGCTCACGTACCTTCGATGTGCGGAAACAGTTCTATCGATTGTTTCACACTCAAGCCGTCATGTGTCGTAAGAATCTACTCGATAGGATTGGAAATTGCAGCTGTTGTTATTTTTACCGCTGCACAGTGGGACAAAATCGACATAAAGGAGCAAAATTCATTATCTCTGATCAGCGCTGATTTAACCTTTGCAAATATAATCATTCTTATGGGAAAAATTCTCAGGAATCCAGTGATAATAGTTTCGTCCTGTGCAGAATAGGGCAAGTTGGGGTTTTTGGAGCATTTTACTCAAACTTCTTAAAATTTTGTAAAAATGACTTAAAATACCTCATTGTGGTTGATATACGTTCTGAAATATTGTCACTCTTGTAGAAAAACATCTGGAGAATCCATTAAAAATGGTTTTATACATCACCAGTTTGTGCAGACTATACATTTTAGACCATTTTACCCCTATTACGTGCGGACGAACAATTAGGACCATCGTATTTTCACTCCCGCTTAAATTGTGTGGAGTGGATGATTCGGACAGCGGCAAAAATCCGGACGTGAAATCTAAAGCCAGACAGATGGCCAACAAACTCGAAGGGCATTTCAAGATGCACGTAAACCGCCCGAAAATTGGAGGTAGTGGAAGTTCCAATAATGGAAACATGGCCAGAAGGCTACTCTCTGAGCCGGAAAAGTTTGCAAAAGTTCTTAATGCGGATGCTGATGTGATGAGAAACCTGCCTTGTCAAACCAATTTTTGAACAAGGAAAAGTTAGCAGAGTTGTACAACATCTTAGAAGAGCAGGTATACACTGAGTTTCCGTTTATAAGAAATCTACCTCCATACAAACATTTAGCAGAATACATAGATAAGTTGGTAAGATCATTGATTACTAATCTACGCATTATAAACAAATTAATTTTGTTTATTTTAAAGCCATTTCCATTGCATTTTGTTGATAAATAAGATGGTGAATCTAGCCCCATCTTGCTCGCAAAACTTCTCCAGAGGCCAATTTGTCAGATTTGATAAAGTCTGCATTGGCTCGTTCAGACCCCAAGACCGAGTTTTATATCAACATCCTGCATTCTAACCCTGTCACTGTAAAAAAGATAAACCGTCACTTCTTAACCTTGAGTAAGTCATGAATGTATGATTTCACGTTACACGCATCGTAAACAGAATCGATTTGATCAGCAGGGTTAATATTTTCCATTATTTTTCATCAAATCCAATATTTTTGTCAGTGTCTATTTTTATCATTTACCATCGCAAGGGATAGCGCTTCAACTCAGTGTAGATTAAATGCGTTTGTTTTAAAAATCTTCGCTGTTACGTACGAGCGAAATGAACAAATGAGTTCATTATGCATCAACGAATACGCGTTTGTTGATATTCACCAGTGCTTGATTATCCAACCCAAAATTGTCAAAATCAGAAATGATCCTCAAAAGCAAAATAATTAAATTCATTTTGGGCAAAGTGATTGTTTTGAATATTGTTGACTCCAGAGCCCAAAACCAGGATTTTAACATCAATTCAACATGAGGCAATAATTTGCCATCGGTTTGTGTGTAAAAACTTGCACGACACGTCCTTCAGCGCTATATTTTTTAAAATGAAAATAATCATTATGCATTTGATCCTCAAAATCATCCCCGCCAAGATGAAGACGAATAATAATATTGACATCAACGGAGGCGATAATGAACATCCAGCCACGGATGAAGAAAAACAAATGTTGATTACGATACTCTGAAGTTGCTTTGATAAATAGAAAACTGTTATGTCAAAACTCAGATTCATGCAAGTAGTTGGTCTTATTGTTAAGGTTGTCTTAATTTTCAGCTATTTTGAGTGTAGAATAAATGATTTTTATCAGCACTGATCTTTGTATTTTCTATTTACTGGTTCATAGAAATGATCGTTTAGAGGGATATAGATAAAAAGATAAGCGGTAAGGAACATACTCTGTAAGGAATTACCTACTAGGATCAGTTAAAACGGAACTGAATTGGAAAGAAACTGATATTAAGAAAGTTGATTGATTGTTGTTTGTTTCCTTACACACGAAACACGGATTGTGCAACTTCTGAAATAATTAATTTTATGTGATACATAAAGTTATTGAATGATATTTCTACGGTAAGTGAGGTTCACTTAAGATGGGATTATCACCATTAGATGCTTTCAGTAGGACAGTGCTTGAGGGTTTAATATGAATATGGCGTATAATCGTATGATTTTTCTTTTATAAAAGGGGAGAATCGGGCAAAATGTTTAATTATCTAAATATTGCGCAAGATGAGACAAGCATTTTTTTATGCTTTAAACATATTTACAATGATATAATAAACGAGTATTCGATATTACATGCGTGAATTCGAATACTACTTGATTTATTAAATTAAAGGAGATAATCAGGAAAAATAGGTAAGAAGCTGATATGATCACAAATTGAGACCATCACCATTAAATTTCTCACACATTTTTACAGAGGGAAAGTGCCCGAACGATCAAAATAACAAGCCTTAATTCGTATAAAAGTATATCATGACTTGTTTTCTTCAGTAAAAGGGGGAAATTGGGCAAAATGGGTAATTTACTGAAATTTTCTCAAGATGAAACCATCACCATTCGATTCCTCAGTCATTTTTACAAAAATACAGTACACGAGGGTATAGTATGACAGGCACTAACGCGTATAACCGTGTAACACTACTGATTAACTTTAAAATCAGGGGAGTATTAGGAAAAAATGGCTCCATACATCAGCTTACCTTTCGATGTAATCTAAAACGTAATTTTTTGATCCCTAAGGTGTTTTCCTTCAAGAAGGGCTATCATTGGACAGATTTTCTTATCACTGACTACTGTCTTTTAAAAAATATCGAAAATAAGGTAATAGGGGTAAAATTGACTAAAATGCATAGTCTGCACAGACTGGTGATGTTTAAAACCATTTTTAATGGATTCTCCAGATGTTTTTCTACAAGAATGACAATATTTCAGAACGTATATTAACCACAATAAGGTATTTTTAAGTCATTTTTACAAAATTTTAAGAAATTTGAGTAAAATGCTCCAAAAACCCCAACTTGCTCTATTCTGCACAGGACGAATCTATTCCCACTGGATTCCTGAGAATTTTTCCCATAAGAATGATTGTATTTGCAAAGGTTAAATCAGCGCTGATCAGAGATAATGAATTTTGCTCCTTTTATGTCGATTTGTTCCCACTGTGCGCTGTATGTGCTCCTGTCATCGACAATAGGGAAGTTTGGTAAAGGAGATGATTAACCCGATTCGTGCCTTCCTCAATATTGACCTTTGCTCGCTTTCTACTCTCTATACACAATTTTCACACTGCCGTACTCTAACGGAACTATCAACTCTATACTGTCATTTCCTCATCTATCGTATAAAATGACCACACCACTGGTGTTGAGTACTTGGCACTGATGAAGTCTGCAAGTAGTAGACGAAATACGCGTATCTGTCAAAAGATAAGCAATTTTAACGGAATTTAAAGGAAATAAACCAACCCACTCAAAACTCTTCATAACAACATATTGTTGGAAATTTCCTTCAAACTTTTCTCAAAATATCTTTGAAATACTCCTATAATTCCCACTGGATTCTCCTTCTTCACTTGCAATTCTACTTATAAGTACCTTGGAGTACTCCTTAGAATTCACTTTCAGTTCTCCTTACAAATCTCTTACGCCGCTGCCATAGTGAGAGCAAAGAGGTCCGCAAAGCGTGAAATCGAGTGTAAGGAATAATATCAATAATAAGAATTCTTTTGAACAGAACGCTAAGCGCGCCTCTTCGCTCCCACTATGGCAGCGGCTTTAGAAAAGTCTCCTCGAAATTATTTTTAAGTTTAGAACTCTTTACGAATAAATACGGAACGCATCATTGGAGGTACTCACCATCGGCCGAGCGGAAAGGTTTGGTCTGGCTACCCATGTTCATTAGTGCGTCGGGAATGGGCCCTGTTGCTCGTTGGGAACGCGACAGTGTATTCACTTTTGCTGCTTGTTCGAAACGACGATCGCTTGCCCTCTATCCGGAGTTCTTAATCACTTTTTTTTTGCTGTTGCTCGGATTTGGTTTCTCTTGAATTCACTTGATACTTCCTGTCGGACTTGACTTCAATTTCGATCCAATCACCAAACGGAACGGCGACGGTGGTTGCTTGGTCTCTCTTCCCGGGGCTAGAATCACTTCCACTTTTCTTCGAATCTCTTCCTAGCACTGCGTCGGTGCAAATATCTCAGATTGTGTGAGAGTCAATTCACTTTCTGCGTTCACTCATTGGTTGATCTGTCTCTGGAACCGGTGCCCGGTTGAAGTTTTTATTTATTTTTTATTCTTTTCTTTCCAGATCGCACACAACAAAAGCAACGCTCCTTATTTTGTTTACTACTGTAATCACACTAAAATTTCCACTAGTAGCAGATTTCTTTCTAGTATGTAGCTTTCCTTAATAATGACTTACGACGAAGAAAAAATGGTTGTTTTCTACTTGCTTCTTTCACTAATTAGTAATAATATTTGAATTTGGTTTCTATATTCACAAATCAGCCTTATCGGATATTTTCTTCTCCCAAATGTAGTATTCAGCGTTCGTTTTGTTCGGCCAAATGAATCTGCGATCGATGCGTTCTGACGACTTCCTTTCGCGCTTTCTTCCTCCAGACGGACACAACTTCTTCGACAACACTTTGGGTCCGTTTTCTGTAGGCAGAGTTCTGCGAGTGTCTCCCAGGCGATCAGATCACTTCTTGAAAAGTTTGCGCTCAGTTACTGCTGTCGTAGGTATAGAGTGATGATGTAGATGATGATTACCACAAAAAGCACACCAAAGTTTAATGGTCTACTGGCACTTCTCTTCGCTTTCGATTTGCCTCACTTAACTAGTGTTGTTTGTTTGTTTGTTTGTTTGTTGTGTTTGCCGTTTACTAGTAATTTCAATAATATATCAGATTTGTTTTCAATTCTTCTTTGAAGAACATACACATATTTTTGCTTGTCCTCTCGCTTCGAGAATTATTCACACGAATCAACACGGTTTTTGAAAAATAAAAAACAGCTCCGTTTCTTCACTTGTTGCTTGTGATCACTCAAATAGAGAAACTTAAAAACTCAAACTTAAATAGCAGTTGAATAAAACAAGAGGAAATTCGATAAATAAAAGCTAGCGTTATCAGTATTGTATATATTTATATGTAAAAGGAATCACTGTCCGGTTACACTTGTTTTTTCGCTTGTTCTGTTGCTGTTGTTGTTAGGTTGTTTCACTTAGTCTTTTTACGTTTCACACAGGTTCGCACCCGACTACGGTAGGAGGTGTTTCTTTTTCTTCTTCTGCTTCTTTGTTTCACTTACAGTTGGTTGTTCAGTATGTTGTATTTCGTGTGGCACCCTTCGCAGGGTTGGGGGTTTTCACTTACTTTTTAGCTTAAACTTAGTTTTGCATCAATAAACGTACGCTTACTTTTGTTTACTTGTTTATTTTTTTAAATTTTATCACAGAATGGTTTTATTTGTATTCTTTTTTTTTATTTCAGAATTTTAAATTTCTCTTTTGTTTTCCGCTTTAGACTTTTAGATTTGTTAAATATTTCCTATAGTGTTCACCTTCTTCCTCTTATATAAAACGTTTCACTTTTCCTTTTCCGCGTATCCACCACAAAAAAAAGCTTCCACCAGGATCCTTCTTTCTGTTTTATTGTTATCAGTTTTCCACTTCTTGTCTCTTTTCCTTTTGCTTCTTCTTCGCACCCACTGAAGTAAAAGTTTTACCGTTCGCTACAAAACAGTCACAATTTAACCAACTAAAACTCCGTAACTGCGAGCGTGTACTTTCAATTACTTTAAATAAACTAACTTAACGAAATGTGTTGCTTTTCCCTTGTTTTTGCTTATTTTTTCTGATACTTTGTACTTGGTAGTAGTAGTAGTAGTTTTCTTCTGCGTTTGTCACTATTGTCCTTCAAAATTACCTTCTTTTCCGATGTGTTGTTGCTGCTGTTTACGTTACTGTGATGGCGATGATTGGAACAAACTGTCCCAGGAGAAATTATACATGAATAGTTCACGAAACTCAAAGCTGATGAAAACGAGCGAACTGGGGTACACTATCCGAGTTGTACAATACTAGTTGATGCTATGCAATTTTTTGGCTTCCGTTTGTGAGTCGTTACACTTTTCGATTACAAGAAGAATTTTGGTGTTATCCTTAATGATTTTTTTCACTGTGGTTCAACAAACAATTGTTTCTCTAGTTTCTAGCGAAAAATTGTCCCCAACTCATACACTTGCCTTTTGCTTTGTCTGCACTGAGCTATCTTGGAGGATGTTGTTGTTATTATGCTGTTCTAAGTGGCCTTTAGGCTGCTGCTACTGATGTTCTTGCTAATGACATTCGATGGCCCAGCTTCTAGCCTGGATTGAGGAGTGAGACAATAGAGAGTATTAGAAAATATTTGTGGGCATGGCGGCCGAAATTTATTTTTCACCTTTATTAAAGTGATATTTAGCCGAGCGCTAGTTCATCACATGATGGTCGAGATGGAATTTTATTTGGTGTATGATTTTAGGTTTTTGAGCAACATATACCTATTATATTATAGTAGACAATATATTTGAAACATACGAAATTTTAAATCACATGTGCTATAAAATCAATGCCAACATTTCAAAAGGGCGTTTTTTTTTTAACTTAAGTAGACAGCTAATGCTCTAAAGAAATACATATTTTCATCAAATTATATTAAAATAATTTTTGTCATTAAGGATTTAATATAAACAAAAAGGCGTAATTGAATTTATGTGGGATGCCATAGTGGCTTTGTTTCGCCCCTCGTTTTCTTTGTTAACAAAAAGGCGAAATTGACAGCTAGGTTTTCAGTAGGTCTAAACATTCTTTTTCCGTAGTTTTCAATTTGAAATCATTGAGAAAACTCTTTCAAATGGAATCTGCCAAATTTCAGGACCTTCTATAAGTAAGAACAATGTGATGTACAGAATGCTAACGCGTTCCAAAATTTTAGAAAATTAAATCTGAGCGAAGAAAATAATGTTCATTCTGCAGGATATTTTGAAGAGCTGGATATGGTGGACACAGCCAGAAACGAAAACCCAGGAAATCCAAGTGAAGGAGAGATGGACAGAGCTACATTAGCACAATGCTTCAAATCGCCGGAAATGTTTTCGGACTCCAACGTCTAATGTATCGTTCTGCAATGTACTGATGCTCAAATATAAAAAAATAAGGGAATGCAATACGGCTATCCAGATATTTTCTATCGGCAAACCTCACTCGGATCCGCTGAATATTGAACAGACCTGAGTGTGAGTGCACTGGACGTTCGGACGAAAAGAAAATCTGACTATTCGAGCTTGAGCTGCAGTGTGTCATCTGTGCCCAATCGGAGTGTGTTAAGTGCCATAGGGAACTGCTCAATTTATAATGATTCTCGTGAATTCTTGCACGCTTCAAAGCATTGAAGAATGATCGACGTTAGCATTTATCTCATTCAAGCTGAAGTTCACATGCGCCCACGATGCACCACCTGGCAAAGTATCAATTCAATCGAAACACAACTATTCACGGACACACGAAACAAGTCACCTATCCTCCTCAAGCAGAAGATCGCATACAGTTAGCATGCACCCAAGGGGTGGTCACTCTACACACTTATCTGGGGCAATTTTTTCTCAGTGTGCCGCAGCTGTGCCGAGAAGTCATTGAACTGACTGCTTGCTTGTGAATAATGCCTTGTTTGGCAACCCGGTATTTTAACAGCTCTTGTTTTTGTTTTGTTTTTCAATGTTTACAAAAACGACACCGGCTTCAGTTGGGACTACACATTGGACGAGCTCCGTTGCTAAACGACCTACCATCCTAACCTGAGTATCATCCGTCGGAAAACTGGGAACCAACACCGCACAGTGGTTCAGAATGCAGATTTATTTTATTTTTATTTAATACATCCATCTGACAATAAGTCTTAATGAACCAGAAGCCATAACAAATACTAAATGTATCTGGAGTTAATAATACGTCTCTGGAATTGAGCAGCAGGTTCCCCAAACTCGAACAACTCTTCAACTGTAGAAAACGTGCGAATCATACTCGTAACAGGTTCATGTTGTCCAAAAGAAGAGCGGTGTGAGTCTTGACGCAATAGGAACGTTGAGCGTAGAAATCTGCTTGGCGCACGAAAGTTCAAGCAAGAGAGTAAGTGGGTAGAGTCAGTTTCACCACTTAATAACTTCGCGACGAATGTTGCCTGTTGAATTTGTCGCCGTCGTTGTAACGTGTCCATGCTTAGCAAGCGACATCTCTCAGCATACGGAGGTAAGTTTAGTGGATCTCTCCAAGGAAGTTGTCTTAATGCTCGACGAATGAATGTTTTTTGGATACGTTCTATTCTGATGTTCCAGGAAAGTTGGTAGGGAGTCCAAACAACAGATGCAGTCTCGATAATCGGACGAACGAGTGAACAGTACAGTGCTTTTAAACAGTACGGATCCGAAAAATCTCTTGAGATTCTTGATATAAAACCAAGCTGACGATTAGCCTTAGTGATTACCATTGAACGGTGTAAGTCAAACGTAAGTTTAGGGTCCAGCATTACACCTAGGTCGCTTTCTTGTTCTACTCTTTCTAGTACAAATCCATCAATTGAGTAATCGAATACGATTGGCGTTCTTGTGCGATTAAATGTCATGACCACACATTTTGATATACTGACGGAAAGCTTGTTTAAGCGGCACCAATCAACAAATTGGTCTAACATTGCTTGGAGCTGACGGCAATCCTCGACGTTCTTGACAACAATGTATAGTTTGAGATCATCAGCGTATATGAGCACACAACCACTCGGCAAGAGGAGCGTCACATCGTTGAAGAAGATTGTGAACAGCAATGGTCCTAAATTGCTGCCCTGGCGAACACCGGAGGTTGCAGCAAATGGTGATGAAGTGCACGAACCCAGCTTGACACGAAGTGTTTTGTTGGAAAGATATGATTTCAGCCAATCAACCAAACCATCCGAAATTCCCAGGCGAGACATTTTCCGAAGAAGAATACCATGATCGATGCAATCGAATGCCGCTTTCAGATCGGTATAAACGGTATCTACTTGAGCCCTATTTTCCAAGTGATTTATACATGTTGAGGTGAACTCCAGCAAATTTGATGTAACTGAGCGTCCTGGCATAAATCCGTATTGCGTTGCTGAAATGTAGCTCTTGACATGAAAGAAGATAGCATCGTTCACAATGATCTCGAATAATTTTGAAGCTGCAGATAGACTTGTTATGCCACGATAATTTGTCACGTCACGTTTGTCGCCCTTCTTATGGACAGGGAACATATTTCGGGGAAAACTCCTTGGTGCAACGAAGCGGTAAAGATGCGAGCTAGGGGATCAGCTAAAACAGCAACACAGCGGCAAAAAATGATTGCAGGTACACCATCAGGACCCGGTGAAACAGATTTCTTCAACTTCCTAACAGCTTTAACGACATACATATTGCTAACCACAAATGTACGCAAATCGATGAGACCCTCAGGAACATTGCAAGCCGCTCTTTCTACTTCATCTGCGTTGGCGACTGAATCCGAAAAAACAGAACTGAAGTGGCGGGAAAATAGATCACACGATTCGAGCATAGAAGTAGACTCCAAATCGCCAAAAAATACGGATGAAGGAATATTCGACGATTTTCGCTTGGAGTTCACAAACTTCCAGAAGCTCTTGGGATTTCTACGTAAATTGGTCTGGACACGCAAGACATATGACTTGTATAGGGTTGAATTAAGCTTACGATAGGCGTTGCAAGCGGTGGAATGATATGTTTTGAGCCTGAAATTGAAACTTTAAACTAAAAGTCTCCTCTACAAAGTTGTTGCTTATTGTTAGGCCCTCATTTTTATGACAATGAATTCTAGGGTGGTTCCTGTTATCATTAAAATCAAAAATCTAACTTTTTTGTTTGAATAAATTGAGGTATACATTCTTCGGCAAAGTTATAGCTGAGCTAATGTCAAGCAACTTTGCTCAAAATAAAATTTTTGTATCTCTTAAATTGGCCGATTTAGAGCTATTTTCTTGAATTGAGTTAGGGTGGCTCTTAAAAAAAAACAGTTGTTTTGCTCTAGTTATCTTATTTAGAATTTCTCAGCAAAGGTATCTTCAGATAACTTTTAGATCTTAAAAAGGCGCAAATTTTTGCTGCACAAAGCTTGTCAATATCTTTCGCCGATCAAGAGTTATTGACGTGTTTATACTAAAAATATGCACTTTTCAAATGTTAATATCTCTGGTTGGGGCAAACAAAAAAAAAAAAGCTTTTTACGGCATTTGAAAGGGCGTCTTAACGTTCTCATTTTAGAGTAATTTTTCGGAGTTGACTTATTTTTTTTTTTTTTAATTCTTTATTAAAGAGATTTTTAGCCTTAGGCTAGTTCAGCGATCATGGTCTACGGAGTCGATAACAACACAGCCAACACCGATAAGCTGTTCAATCTGTTCTGCCTGTACGGAAATGTTGTCAGGATGAAGTTCCTGAAGACCAAAGAGGGTACCGCCATGGACCAGATGGGAGACGCCATCGCAGTCGAACGCAGCATCCAGCAGTTGATTAACATTCTAATCGATAATGATGGTAGCAAAACTCAGATTGCATTTTCCAAGCAGCACTACTTTTCAGAGTCCATCAACCCCTACACCCTGCCGGACAATTCGATCAGCTTGAAGGACTACAGCGCCTTCAAGAACAATCGCTTCCTTTCGTTGACCCAGGCCAGCAAAAATCGCATTCTCCACTTCTTCAATACCACCAAGGGCTGCCACCCGTCGCAAGTGCGAATGTTCGTCTAGGAGGAAATGTGCAAGCGATTGCCCTGATTTCTTCATGCTGGGTGGTCGGAATGATTGTACGCAGTCCGGCACGAAATGATGTACCTAGTTCTTCGGACAGGCATCGGGATGTGCGCTGACAATTCGATTTAAGAGAATCCATGGCAAGACTTGGTGGAGATTCACGGTTGTGATTTGAAAATAATTTGATTATATTGTGGCAACATCAAAAACAAATTTTGACATATGCACACTGTGCAGGCGTAGAAAAAGTTAAATGTTTAAAGATCAGATAAATTGTAACCATGGGTGCCAATCAGTGCCAATGACTGTGCCCAATCCCATCCCCTTGCATGCACCGTGGAGATGCACATGGCGATTCCATGAATCGACCTGAACATACCGTAACTCTCCGAATATCTTGGAAACATCTGTATCTAACAAAAACGGACATTGCGAAGGGGTTGTCACGCATCGTGGTGATGCCATGAATCGACCTGAACATCGTATAAAAGATGGAGATGCATACAGGAGATTCGGAGAGTTAAGGCCCAAGTGCAATGACAGCGAAAGCGGAACGGCAGCGGCAACGGACAAGCCCGATCTGAGTAAGCCTACTTTGTCGGATTGAAAACTAGTTAGAACCAAATCGCCTTTGGTTGGGCACCTTAATGTCCTTCACCTATTTGTTTGTATTACTTCTGTGTGAAGTTAACGATTTACATAGTTGAAGATGCTAATTTCAATAAACAGACTAACAGTATAGAGTTGATAGTTCCGTTAGAGTACGGCAGAGATGATCACCGACTTGCTCATGTACCGACGATGTGTTTGAAACAGTTCTATCGATTGTACCGCACTCAAGTTGTTATCTGAAGGGAGGCATCCAGTCGTATATCTTGATCTTGATGTCATTTGTGACCGAGGGGGGCGACACATCTAAATCTCGATTCTTCGAAAAATCTTCTTTCATTTCTCGCATCTACTTGCATCGCGCATCATTTTTTTTGTAGGAAATCTTCAAAATCGTGATAAATCTTCCTGCTATCTACTCATCGTACGCGCAGCTAGCCACAGCAAAACACAATATTTTCTGCATCGTAGATAGAGTCGTCCCCCTCGTTTGTGACAACTGTCAATCTTTCCGTTTCCGTTCTGCTTCCGCCCACATTGCGTAGCTAATCGCCATGAAGCCCAAATTGAATAATCTCTTATTCAGCTGACATAGTGAAGAAATATGTGAGGGATTATCTGATTGAATAGTTGATCAGTAGAAGGTCTTCTGAATAATTGATCAATCTTGTAAAAATATCCAAGGGGCTTTGAAATTCTCCAAAGTTCAGTGAGCGTCTCTGAATTTGCATTAACTTCAAAACTTTTGGGAGCACTTTGAAGAAGTACCATGAACCGTGGGAAAATATCGAGAGCTCCCTAATCAAATGGTTATGGTGATTTTGCTTAACGACGTGTTCCGGGTATCATGCAAACTATTTGTGTAATAGTTCTATAATTTGGGTAATCATTCGTCTATGGTATTTTTTATGAGGACTTCGCAGAAAAATTACTTATATTAGGAAAACTTCGAGAGCTTAAGGAAAGTTCCATGAATTTTAGGGAAGTCCAGAGAACTCTAATTTATTGAGAAGTTTAAAAAACTTTGGGAAGTAACGATATCTTTAAAGAAGTCCCGAATATCGGGAAAGTTCAAAGACCTTCAAGAGAATATTCAGACAACTTTGTATATTTCGGGAAAATGTTGAAAACTTCATCGAAGATCTAGAGTAGTTTTAGGAGAACTTCAGAGTAGTTCTGACGAGAACTTAGTTCTGAAGAGAACTTCAGAGTATCCTGATGAATGTGGGCGCTTTTTTAAAACTTCAGAGTAGTTCTGATAAGAACTTCAGAGTAGTTTTGAGGAGAACTGCAGAGTAGTTCTGAGGAGAACTTTAGAGTAGTTCTGTGGAGAGTTATAGAGTAGTTGTGAGGGCACCTTCAGAGTAGTTCTGAAGATAATTTCAGGAAATTTCTGAGAACTCCATAGAAGTTCCACTAGCCTCAGGAAAATTTCGGGAAATTTACTTAATATGGCCACCAATGTTCTTATTTTTGAATTATCATGTGTCACATGAGGGTGTAGGTTCAAGTTTCACTTCTCCATCCGGAACATCTGGCTTACGTGGTCTTCAGTACTTAATATGGACAAACATGGTCATATTTTTTTTAATTCTAATGTAGTTTGATGTGGTTGTGTTGGTTCAAGAAGAAGCTGACCACTTCCTCGGGGGTATCCAGAACATGTCCGGATGCGGCCAACATTTTTCTGACTACTTACTTACTACCCTGGATGATTATTTAACCTGAAGTTTCAGGTTAATTCAAAATTACAAAACATACGTATGAAAACATTGAGCACCTCTCAGGTTACCGCTTAAGCGCACCGCGTTTTTCCAAAATGTTAAAAAAAAACGAGTTTTAGTACAATGCCGCTTTTGCCGCAACACGCTTATTGTGGGTTGTCAAACGGATTTCAGTGCATTGGAAAATATACGCTTGCCGCTATTCCATTATTATTGTGTTCAGCCCTTAACAAAAAGCGGCTGCCATGCACCGTGGTGGTCCGCATGGCGATGTTCAAAATCGACCTGAGCACCGTAACTCTTAAATTCTCCGGGGCAACATCTCCGTCCACCTCAAGCAGACATTCGCATGCGGCTACCATGCCCCATGGTGCGCATGGCGATGTCCAAAATCGATCTAACTCTCTCAGATCATATGTAATCGTAGATACTGGAAAGTGTCTACTCTGAATCAGAGTTCTGGATGAAAATGGTGGATAAGTGTGTACCTGGGATAACGCGGAAATAAATGTATTCGATATGACGGATTATTTTGAAAAATTCCGGAATCAGGGTCTTTTGAGTGAAGACGATGAGTATGTACCCGGAGCAGATGATTCCAATGACGGTAAGTTGCCGTACTATAATAGAACTAGCATCTCTACATACCCTTTCATCTCCTTCTCTATCGTATAAAATTGGCTGATATTTGACATCTCCAATTATGTAAATCGTTAACTTCAGGCATGAAGTAACACATGACCCTCTTATCCAGTACAACTTCAAATTGAATAGATCGTTCGATACATTTCATAGAATGCAAAAAAGACAGAAATCATGTGTTACCAAAAACGGAAATGTCTTTATAACAGTACAGGAATTCTCTGTAGAACACTCCAAAAAAAATCACAAAATTCGTCCGTAGATAATCTTCGAATTTTAAACTCTTTCTAAGAATTCTCTGGAGTTTCAAATTTTTTAAAAATCGGCCTAAAATTCTCCGTAGCCGTTCAATTCACCTCAGATTCTCGATCAACAAAGGGTCTATTAGCTTTTATGAGCAAAACTTGTTATCCCCATTCCTCATCGGACAGGGGAAATTCTCCCGAATTGTCTTCAAATTTTGCTCAGAATTATCTAGGTGTTCTCCTCTAAATTCTTCTGAAAATTACATGGAATTCTCATTAAAATTCCATTCGAAATATGCTTGGAATTATCTTCGGAAGTTCCTTATAGATCTTCGCAGAATTATTTAAAAAAATTCTAAAATTCTTTTATTAGTTCTTCAAAGTGACTGTATTCAGAAAATCTAGCTCAGTCCGTAACGGCGCAGCTACAAAGCAAGACCATGCTGGAGGTGGCTGGGTTCGACTCCCGGTACGGTCTAGATTTTTTTCGGCTTGGAAAATTTCTTAACTTCGCTGAGTATAAGATTGTACTTGCCACACAATTATATTATACTAATTCAAAAATGGTACAGACATCGAAAGCTGTCAATTAATAGCTGTGGAATTGCACCTAGAACACTAAGTTGGCATCATGCAATAAGCTAATCTCCAAAAATTCGAAGAAGAAGAAGATCTGCTGCCAAACTCAAGCATGTTTCCATTCTATTGAGAATCTCAGACGTAAAGAAATATAGTGGCAAAGAAAATAGAAACAAATGACTTCATCTTTTCTAGAAATCTAGCGTTCAATTCAATCATTCAGCAAAGGGGATTTCATGGTTTCATTGACGCTGTATCTCTAAGCAAAGTGGAATAATATGTAAAGCAACAGTTTTATTCCTGATGAATGTTGGCGTCTTAGTGGAATATACCTGTATAAAGAGAGAGAGAAAGATTAGTAATTTCCATTTAATTCCACTACCTTATTTGCTTATCCCTGACAGATACGCGTATTTCGTCTACAATGTGCAGACTTCTTCAGTGTCTTGTACTAATAGTCGAGTATTAGTACAAGACACTGAAGAAGTCTGCACATTGTAGACGAAATACGCGTATCGGTCAGGGATAAGCAAATAAGGTAGTGGAATTAAATGGAAATTACTAATCTTTCTCTCTCTCTCTTTAAACAGTAAACCCTGAAACTCACATTTATAACCCAAGTCTTAATTAACAATAGAAAAGGCCCATCAGCATTTGTAAACAAACTGTTCTAGAACCCTTTCCTCACAGAGCGGAGGCCACTCACGCAAACCAACCAATGGTATTGGTTTGCGTGGGTGACCTTCGCGTTGTGAGGAAAAGGCTCTAGAACGGTTTGTTTACAAATGCTGATGGGCCCTTTTCTATTGTTGATCCAGAAGTTCCAACTATAGTCGCAATATTTATAGTCTCTGCGGATACAATGTCGAGAGCCACTTGAGCTGTCAAATGCAGGGGCGGGATGTGCAGTCAAATGTATAGTCGCTATATTCATAGTCTGGCGAATAGAATTTCGATTCCAATATATTTCAGACCAACAATTGAAAAGGTACTATCAACTTTTATAAACAAAACGTTGATTATTCTTTCCTCGCTAATCATTTCATTTTCATTTTCATTTTCAAGCACAGAAGGGGGTCATAGGGCCAAGTCACCAGCGAAAAATCGCTGTCCATACTGCACCAGGGTAGAGGTATAGATTTGGCATCACAGAATAATAACCACAGGGGTCAAATGAATCCTGTTTACGATACCGGAT